AGAGCTCGTCTATCTTGAGAGATTTTAAACTGTTCCACCAATAAACCATCTGCCACGATGTCACCACATCTTAATTTCGGCTATTTCGGTCAGTACAGATGGAAGGATGAGGAAATTTGTACAAAGAAGTGGTTCACTACCTCGCATTCAAGATGCATGGGTGGTCCACCATAGTTTTCAGGAACAACTATGACAGGCATCCATACGCCAGAATATTCCATTCAAGAACACTGAAAGGAAGGCGATCTGAAACATTATACCAGATATTTTGAAAAAAAAACGACTTCTGAGATAACACGCTGTTAGTCTTTCTTACATGGCGAATCAGCAGGGGAACGTTCAGGATCGCTCAATGGATGGCCTTGGCGAATGACAATAAACGTGGCTCGAGCAACTCCTATTGGATCATCTACACGTAGATCGAGAAGCTCTTCCATTGGTTGATGCCTATCGTCCTATGGAGAAAAAATATCAGTCTGAACTCGAACAAAAACTCGTCAATTTTCAAAAGTAGGGAGAAAGTATATCACAATGAAACGCCGTGACTGTCAGATATTGTCTACTACTCAAAACAGGTGGCTATACTGAAACACAGGAAGGTCCGAAGAAGTCAGACGAAATGTACAATTACTAGGCAACACTTGTGAAGACCCAGGGAAGATTAGTAAAATGCCCCTCATTAAGTCGCCCCCCCCCCCTAACGCTATCGACTAATACTAACTAAATACTACATGCGTACGCTCGAATGAGCATTTGGCCTATGCTACCAATGCGAATACTGTCCCAAAGTTCAGCTGTTGCAACTTGCACTTTTTATCTACTCGACGATCACCATCTTCATGGTATAGATTGTAGTCGGTCATACAAGCCTTGTATGAAAAAATGTGAAATTTCAAACCGTAAGTAAAAGAGCGCGAATAACTCACCCTTAGAGGAAACAGGAATCGGTAGACATCGCATTTCCCAATCCAGTTGGACTGTATGTCAGCCACTTGGTCCCAATTTGACAATTTTCGCAGACCATCGCTCAAGCGCTGAACGACATAATCACTCCAATCTCCAGCCTCTCAAAATACTATCAATATCCTCGCATACCTTAGCATAACGTGGAGTCTCAACCATCCATTGTCGCAACTTTCGCTTCTCCACAACAGCACCGC